AAGAAAGACATGAACATCTTGGATGACATGGGGGTGAGTAAATTATCAGGAAGTTTTACACGGAAAAGTGTTTATATATAAATATAATTAACACATTAAATTAGCTATAATACATATACAAAATATTTTTTGTTAAAATATATATTAAAAATATATATTTTTTTATATTTACTTGTCTTATTTAAAGGGGTTCTATTATGCTCTTTTACAATGTCTTGAATTTGTTTTGGGGGTGTACGAATTATTTTTAATGATATTCTAATGAGTCACTTTGTGATATCACAAAGCCCGGAAAACAACGCTGTAGTCCAAACGAGTCGTTCGTTGTAGTTCTTGAAAAGGGATTTTTTAAAAACGAAATATCTCCCTTTGGAGTGGACTTTGAGATTTGTAATTTTGAAGATCTTTTTTATGCCCAAACAAACACACTACACACTGACTAAAATTCAAAAAGTGAAAAAGCATAATAGGACCCCTTTAATGTATTGACGAATTAAATTAATTAGATTAAATAATCAGTATAATCAAGCAATTAATTCTATTACAAATATAATCACATTTTTACAGCGCTAGATTTAATTTCATCTGACAACATTATTATAATATTGCTGTACTGTATTTTGAATTGAGCACATGTTGGATTACATTTTTCTGACTTGAAAGGTTTCTAAGCACTCAAACCCAAAAGCAGATGTTCACTGGAGGATCATGGCTAAGATCAATGTGGACTGTAAATAGACTAGCGGCAGGGGTTTCAGCATCTGCTGTCTGAGACATGCCTAGTTAGACTCGAACTGCACAGATACACCAGCGCAAACTGCTGCTGTTCATCCAAAACCCAGGAACATCTGTCATGATTTAGAGAGCAAGAATATCTGTGTTTCTGAGGCAGGGAGCCACCCACTGACAAAACCCTGGGCTGCAGAGCAGCACCTCCCACCATCACTAGGCCAAAAACTCACTTTAATTATTTTGAAAAGAATAATGAGAGAGACTGGATAGAGTGAGGGCGGCTGAGAGCACTGAATGTGTGTATCAAACCTGAGGGTCATCTTGTTCCTCCATGCTGTACTGTGCTCCACCAGGCCCTTCGTTCCCTTTGTCCCCGAGCAGGAACCCCAGTCGCGTCATCAGTGTGTTGGCGGCCTCGTCTACAGACGGAGGAGGACCCAGATCCTGGCTTTCTTCCCCTGTGAGAGAATAAAAGAGAACAAGAGAGGTAAAGCCTCTTTATAAAGTATATGTTTATAAAGTATAACCCACCTGATGTTGTGTGCTACAAAGAATGTGCTCTAAACAATGCTGTTGTTGCTTAACACGCATTTGTAAAACAGCAGGAAGAGGAATATGATAAAACACAATGATAATCACACCAAAAAAAAAAAAAAAAACGTAGTCAATAAGTTTACAATAAGTTGTAAAATGATAATAAAAATAATATATGTAAAAATAATATATTTATATATAATAAAGCTGTAAAGTTTATAATACTGATCTCTCTATATAAATAATATTAATTAATAAAATAATCATCTGCTAGAATTTCCCTACAGTTAATTATGCCCAGCAGCACTGGTTCCTCAACCAAGGCTGCATTTATTAGATTAAAAATGACTGTAAATACAGTAATATTGGAAATATTATTACAATTTAAAATAACCATTTTCTATTAGAATACATATTCAATGCAATTTATTCCTCTGATGTCAAAGTTGAATTTTCAGCATCATTACTCCAGTCTTCAGTGTCACATGATCCTTCAGAAATCATTCTAATATTCTGATTTGCTGCTTAAGAAACATCTCTGATTATTATAAATGTTGAATGTGAAAAATGAGTTAAGACATTCAGAATGTTACAAAACATTATGAATGTATTTATACATCTCATTAATTTCACTTAGCTGAAATGAGAATAATTAGATGTAATCACATATTCTGTATTTCCTAAACCATTCATGGACAGTCATTTTGGTAGGATTTTTAAAAACTTTAAAACTAAGTGATTTTGGCATTCAGAGAAACTGCTTTCTTTGGCTTCTATGACAACATAGGGATTTTTATGATCCTTGCAATTCCACATTGTCTAATGCATAAAAGTACAACTTGGCCGTCGCTACCACATCCAGACTTTATGTGATGTCTTTCAAATTTCAGCCTCAAACAGCTCCATTGGAATAAAATATGGCCATGATTTCAGCCTTTCAGTTCTGCTCACTGTCAAACATCCCCATCATACATCCTTAAAAACCAAGTGACACAGCAGATAAGGACATGTAAACCAGCCACACTTGCTGTTGTGAGACCAGCCCAAGACCCCAAAAGACCTAAACTGTAAAACACTAAACCACCTCACAATCCCTATCAATAGGATGTCTGAATGTCTAGTGCTTCACAGATGAAGCGTCTGAGCCTGTGCGCTCATATACACAGTCAAAGGCTGACCGTGAGACTTCAAAAGAAGAGGTGTCCCACGGTGGCTAAATCCACAGTGAGAAGAGCTTTTTCAGGATTCGTTTTTTTCCCCATACCTTTCACCTCTCACCATCAGAACAGAGCGGAAGAGAACCGACTGCAAAACAAACTGAGCCTTTCCCAGAAATACAGGGCGAGTTGCTACACCTCTAAGGCACAGACTCATCTTACTGTCAAACCTGTCCTCAGAGACTGGAAAACTCTCTCAGATAAACCAAAGCCTCAGGCAGCAGCGGCTCTGCACAGCAGCTACAGTTAGATTTTATAAGTTGTCCTGAAAAGTAACTGTCTGAAAGAATAAAAAAATCTTGGTATAACACATCTAATGAGTTCTGAACAAGAAGGATCAACACAATAGATGCTAAGCTAAATATGCTAATTCAGTCAAAGCATGTCAATGGCTATGTCTCAAAACCTTAAATTAGCTTAAAGGAGGATTTCTGGGCATCATAGGAGCATTTTAATATGCACATTTGGGCATATACACGGGCTATTTTACAAATACAAACAGATAATAAAATGCTACAGCTAATTATGCTAACTAGCTCGGCAACCATCATCTATGGCTGTGCCTTAAAACCTCAAGAGCTGACAAATCATATTGGGCAGTTTTAAACATTTCACCTACAATGCCCAAAAATACACTATTACTTAAAGGGGTCATATGATGCTGCTAAAAAGAACATTATTTTGTGTATTTGGTGTAATGAAATGTGTTTATGCGGTTTAAAGTTAAAAAAACACATTATTTTCCACATACTGTATAAGAGTTACTATTGTTAACAAAAACCAAAGCTAAAACAATTTTGTGAATTGAAATAAAGCTGAAATAAATTCAAATATAAATAGACAAAAAATTTTTACATTACAGTAAACTAAATTGTAAATGTTGCCTTGGCAAGAAATTGAAATAAGTTGAAGCACTAACATTACTAAAGGAAATACAACAAATACTAAAACTGAACTATGACTGAAAAAAAAAAAAACCCTAAATAGCAATAATGAAAAATACAATAAAATAAGAAATACAAAAATAATAAATAAAAAGAAGATAAAAATGAAAAAGAACATAAAATCACTAATAAATTAAATAAAAATAAATAATAATAAAAAATAAAGGCTCCAAAAGGGTGTTTTTACAGTGATGGCATAAGAACCATTTTTGGTTCCCCAAAGAACCTTTTAGTGAACAGTTCTTAAATGAACCATTTTGAAGAATATTTAAAAAATCTAAAGAACTATAAATAACCTTTTCTGCATTTGAATGGTTCCATGGATGTTCAAGGTTCTTCATGGAACCATTGATGCCAATAAAGAACCTTTATTTTTAAGAGTGTATAAAATTCTAATTCAAATAGTGCATTCAAAATATTAATAAAAAAGTAAAAAAATATTAATAAAAGAGTTTCATTTGCTTTATTTCAAAATTATGCTATATAATTCAATATTTAGGTGCTGTATGTATAGAGCTTCCAGTCAACTAAAGTAAAGCTAATGACTCTAATGCAAATGTATTATTTGTTAGATATAATTAGGAAAAAAAATCATACAGGTTTTGTAAAAGTGAAGCATTCAAAACAAGCGCTTGCCACATTATTCGTTTGTTTGTTTGTTTTTTTTT